TGGTGTGTTGTGCAAGGATCTTAGTTCCCAAAGTTTGTCTAAAGATATAAATAAGTTTCTTACAACATGTTGAGAATTACTCAACTCTATTAGCCTCATTAGAGTGGTAAGTTATGAACTCTACCACAATCAGTGTTCTTAAAAATGCTCAAACATCCAAGGGAAAATGGAAGGACATATAAGACCAGATCTAAATTTTAGAGAATGTTAAAAAACAAAACAAAACAAGATCTCAGTGTTAATGTCAGTTCCCAGGCTGCCGTACTAGAGGATTTCTGTGAGCTAGATTTCCTCGCCTTTGGAGAAGACCTTTTAGTCAAAGACCCAGGAATAGCTGGAGTGACATCCTATAGAAAGTGCAATGTGTGCTTCTGTATCATTTTACCTGGTATTTTTCTACCCCTAATCAATATATTATTTACTTTTTTATTCCAAATCCTAATTGTGTGAGCAAAGAGCAACTGTGCCATGTTAGATAAAGATTTCTGGGAGACTACAAGCAGAACCTTCCTTAGGTCACAGTCTGTCTTCAGTTTCCTAGATATTCAAGAGTCAGAAGGTCAGGAGTGAGTCTGACTAAATCCAGGGATCACCAGACTCAGAGCAACCAATGGAACATGGCACAGGCACTACGTGTCTGACAAAAGTGCACCAGACATGGTGAGCTACTCTGCCTGTTCAACTTTTAAGCCCTCACACAGCCATCTCCAGCTTCAGGCAAGATGAAGGCTTTCTGTGGAGTGAAGTGAGTGTCCCTGCTGATCCAACAGTGCGAGATGGGAAGGAGCAGCAAGGTCATCCACATGTGGTTAAGTCAAGCCCAGTGCAAGCAGGAATCTCTCCCGAGCAGGTTGTCTGCAAGTGTTAAAGGTGCTCAGCAGGCAGCATGGCTCCTGGTGTTGACTGCAGGTCGCCTTGGTCTCTGAGGCTCCCTTCAGGGCTTACTCACTGGTCACCTAGTTAACACCCTTTCCTTTCTTCTGAGGGCCCTACTCCTACCTCCTGTTTCCTGGATCCCATTTCTTCCTGTCTTGGAGGAAGGTGGATGCATTCTTTTTGGTGGAGTGTATTTTCCTGTAGCTGCTCAGTAAGGTGCTTTGTTTTGTTTATTTGCTCTTCAGAAAATGTCATGTGTTGTGGCAATAAATCATTTCTTTCAGAATTTAAAGAGATTGCTCTACAGTTCTTGTGCAATATAAGTAATTAGTAGTCTAAAGCCAATATCATCCCCTACTCTTTCTATATTCCCTATTCTTTTTTTCTATAAATTTATATTTTCCTCAAAAGGTTTTAAAACAATGACCTGTGCCCTATAATCCTCCACTGCCCTTTCCAATATTTGAAGTTGGATTATTTTGGTTCTCAATTTTTCCTAGATTTTTGTTACATTTTTTAAAAATTTCATTGTTTTTGCTCTAGTCTCTGAGTGAGTTGTCTTACAGTTCTTAAAAACGGAGGTCAAAGTCAGTTTCACTGGACTAGAATCACAGTGCTGGCTGTGCTCTTCTGGAGGCTGGGTGAGACCTGGTGTCCTTGCTTTCTCAGCCTCTAGCACCCATCTGTGTTTCTTCATTTGTGCCCCTTCCTCCCTACTCAAAGCCAGAAGGGTAGAAATTTCTCTCTTTGTCCTTATATCTCTCTCTCTCTCTGAATATAATACTCTTGCTTCACTAAAGATGCTTGTGATTCACTGGGCTCACCTGGATAATCTAGGCCATAAACTCATTTAAAAAATCTCAATAACACCTGTAAAGTCCACTTTGAGGTGACATATCCATAGTTTCCAGAGATAGGACAAGCATGGGGTGTGTGAGAGGACAATTAGGCTTCCCCAATCAGTGTCTAGTTTGCTCCCCAATGGCCAGCCTCCCTAGAGTCTCCAGCTGGACTGGTGACATTCTGGCCAACATTTTGAGGCCAGAGGGCCTTCCAAGGGCTTGAGGGAAGATGTGTCTCAGAGCCTTGCATGCAGGCTATACAAGTCACTTGAACTCTCTTATTTGAGTGTAGCATCCATATCTTTAATAAATTTAGTTTTTTTCAACCCAGAAACTGTCTTCTAGAGAGTAAACTCGCAGACATCTACTACGCAGTGGCATGGAGAGAAAGAAAATAGAGACTCATAAATTCTGTCTCATTCTAGTGGTCAAACAGCACCTGGTACTATCAATTCGGGAGTCTTTTGAGGATTGTGGGGTATGAATCAGGTCACCCCTCAACTTATCCCACTAACGGTGAAAGATTTTCATGTTTCTTGAGTTGGTTTTGTCATTTACCTCTTATAAGTTTGCTTTGTAGATCCCAAAATTTTATTGCTATTGTATACTCTCCTAATCTCTATCTTTGTTGTTTTATATCTTTATAAAAAGGCTATTATGAATCTAGCACAATTCTAGGCAGGACTGAAATTAGAGAGGTGTGTGTGTATGTGTGTGTGTGTGTTCTTACTAATACTAAAGGACATTTCATTCAGATTGGTTAAATTCCTTAGATCAGACATGGTGTTATTTGTGACCAGACAGTGGCTCCTTCTAAAATAAAAAGATTTCAGCTCCAGGTTTGTGTATCCTGCCCTGCCCACCCAATTACACACTTTCAAACTTGACTCATTGCCATAATGTCCTGCCACAGACTAACTTCCGGCTTCATTTCATAAAGCGGGAAGCAGAACCAGCAGGAGTCTTCCTGAATGCAAGAAGCATGGTTTTTGTAAAGTAACCTCAAATTGCCCCTGTTCCTTACTGCTGCCCAATAGGGAATGAAAGTGCGTAAGCTGCAAGACAAGGTTTCAGGATTCTGAATACAAAGGCTGCCGAACTCATCACCTCCAAGCCTGTGCCAAAGGAAGTAAGGAAATGTTAACTTCCTGTGCAATCGGTCTAACTAGTCATGATGACCTCTTACATCTCCTTCTTTTCTCCCAAAGATCTGACTCTATTACCTTCTCCCATCGCCTCCACTTTTTGTTGCTTCAGTAGCATTTCCAGGTCTCAGCCATCCTGAATCTCTTCCAACTGCACCTGGATTCTGATTAATCACCCTAGTTCTAACATCTTTATGTGTGCTAAACCATTTAATCCTCACAACAACCCTACTATTATTCCTGTTTAACATATTTGGAAACTGGTGCAGAGAGGTCAAGTAGTTGACCAAGGTCACACAGATTTGAACCTAGTAATCTAACTCCAGAGTACATCTTCTTTTTATCACTGTGTTAGAGACCACTTACAAATCATCCATGTGCCAAACACTGTGTCTGAGATAAATAAATCAATAAACATACACAAATCGGTATGCATACACACACTCATTTATCCTTCACAGCAGCCCTACCTCAACCAAACAGCCCCAAAAGAAAAATATTTAATAACTAAACAACAAAATTAATAACTTGACCTAACAGACACATGCTCATCATGTAACCAGTTTTTTTGGGGAAAACATACACTTTCCATGTACACAAGAACATTTATAAAAATCAAATGACATTTAAAAAATAGCTGTTCACAGACGTAATGGCAGAAAACTTCCCAAGCAGGGTTAAAGAACTTGACACACAGATAAGTAAAACATATAGGATTCCAACTAGCTATGATTAAAAAAATCTATACCTAGGCATATAATAGTTAATATTCCACAAACCCAACAGAAGAACAAAATTCTACAAGCAGTTATAGGAGAGAAACAAATCATATACAAAGGAAAGCCCATCAGAGTCACAGCAAACACAAACCCTCAAGGCCAGAAGAGCTTGGAGTGACATATTTCAAGCCCTAAAGGAAAACAACCTACAACTCAGATTGATGTACCCTGAAAAACTACCTTCCAAAATTTATGGAGAAATAAGATACTTTCATGACAAAGAGTACCACAGGAACTTCATGAATACCAAACCAGCACTCCAAAATATTTTAAACAATATCCTAGGAAAGACAATGAGGATCACAACCCCAGGAATCCCAGCTGAATGAATCCATCAGGCATGACAAGAAATTAAACTCAAAGGGAAAGAATCCAAAAAAAGAAAAGAAGAAAAAGTCATGACAAGGGACAAGGATAAGCCAATACATATCAGGTATAGCCATCAATATTAATGGTCTCAATTCACCAATCAAATAAATAGACTGGCATAATGGGTCAAGAAGCAATATCCAATAATACACTGCATACAAGAAATACACTTGATTCAAAAAAGAACTCATGGACTGAAAGTTAAAGAGTGGAAAACAATACTTCATGTGACAGGACACCCCCCCCAAAGTAGGAGTAGCTATCTTCTTTGCAGATCAAATGAATTTCCAACCAACACTGATTAATAAGGGGGACAAGGAAGGACACTATAACATCCTTGTAAAGGGAAAAATCCAAGAGGAAGAGATGACAATCATAAATACATATGCACCAAATACTAGTGCACCAAACTATAAAACAAATACTAACAGACATGAAAAACCAAATGATCACTAATACAATAGTAATAGGGGATCTCAATACCCCACTGTCACAAATAAATAGATCAACTAGACAGAAATAAACAATGGATGAATTTAACAGATGTTTATAGAATGTTCCACCCCACAAAATCAGATAAACATTCTTTTCAGCTGCACATGGGTCATTCTCCAAAATAGACCACATATAAGTATAAATTTGTAACTTACCTTTATTTTGGTTTTGTGTTTTTGTTTTATTTTTTTAAAACAGGGTCTTACTATGTAGTTCAGATTGGCCTTGAACTTCCTAGATAGCCCAGGCTGGCCTCATATTGACAGCAATCCTCCTGCCTCAGCCACCCAAGTGCTGGAATTACAGGCATGCACCACTACACCTAGCTTTCTTTTTTTGTTTTGTTTCATTTTGTTTTGAAACAGGGTCTCACTATATAGTTGAGACTGACCTGGAACTCACTATGTAGCCCAGGCTGGTCTCAAACTCACAGCAATCCTCCTGCCTCAGCCTCCTGAGTGCTGGGATTACAGGCATGCACCACCTTGCCCAGCTTATACATAGCTTTCTAAATTGCCTTTTATGTTACATTATTAATTTCTAAAATATCATTTGTAATTACCATATAATTTCATACCTAAGGAACCACTCTTTAGTCCTTCACCTCAAGTTAGACTTTGGCTATTAATGATTAATGTTATTATTAGCATTTATACAGATTTACGTGAAGCTTTATTTCACATTCTTGTTTCCATATCATAGATTCTTGAAATAGGTTTATTTGATCAAAGGGTATGAACATTTCTGAAGTTCCTGGCACATATAACTTTGAAAAAAATTCTAAATGAAAAGGTAGCACAACTGGCATGTCCAGTGAGGACTATACATTTCAAAATTATCACAACATACACTAAATCTATAAAACTCTGTCGTTGGAAAATTGCTCTCCGGTGTATACAGTGGATATAAGACTTAGATAGTTGCTCATATCTTCAGAATGGAAACATTCTTGTCCTTACTCAAATGATTCCAGGCTACAGGGGAAAAAAAGGAAAAATACAATAAGTCATAAGTTTGACTTGATTAATGATCCATAATCTAAGGAGCAATCAAACTTATATTTCATATTTAAAACATGACAGAATAGGATATCTATTTGGAACTTCTAGGAAAGGCATACACATGTTATGTTGCTAAACAACAAACACTTTCTCATTTATGTTTCGGTACTTGTTAGCAGCCTCAACTATAACTAAATTTTTTGAATTAATTTTATTGGTACATTTAATGTATACAATATAATGATAGTCATTGTTGGAAATTTGTACCTTTATATAAGCAATCTTGGTGCTTTTCCCCACATTCCCCTGCCCTCCAACCCCTCCCTCACTCCCTCTACAAAGACTTTGATTCCATTTTTTCATTTCCTCATATTAATTCCATTCCCTTCTTTCCTTTCCCCTAACCCTCACATTTCCCCTTCCTCTTTGTCCCTTTTCTTCTAATTTCACATTATCTATTATACCTTTTAGTCCTTGTTTATACTTTCAGTTTCTCACACTAGAGAAACTATTCGGTCTTTACACATGTGTGTCCTATTTATATCACTTAAGAGTATCGCCTCAATGTGCATCCATTTAGCTATAAATGTCTAGAACTTCTCATTTTTTATGGATGAGTAGTATTCCATTTTATAAAAAGACCACATTTTCTTTATCCAGCCTCCCGTTGATGAGCAACTGAGCTGCTTCCAAGTTTTAGCTATTACAAATTATGCTTCTATGAACGTGGATACACATATATCACTGTGGTATGATTCTTTTAATTAACTATAACTAAATTAACATTAGTATTTTAGCAGATAAAGTTGAAATAATTTCAATAGGATAAAGACACATTTCCCTTCTTTAAACCATGTGTTAATGCACACAGCACAAAAAAAAATTGGTAATTCGGAGAAGCTGTTTCAGAAGGATAAGATTCTAAGCCCTTAATTATCTTACAAAGAGGGAAATTTTTAATAAATGGTAAAATTTCTTCATGCTTTGGGCTCACTGTACCTAGAACAACGAGATAGTGCTCATTGTTGTGGTTTGTTTCTAGGTGTGTCCCCAAAGCCTCATGTGGTCATAGGTGGGGCTTTTTCAGGGGTGGCTGGATCTAGAGTGGGTGAGAATGGGATTCACTCACGGTGCAATGCTAGGAGCAAGGGCACTAAGATTAAAGGTGCGAGTGCTGCCCATCTCAAAAACTCAAGATAAAATAAAAGGGGCAAAAAGACACTCTTAAGATCCTTTGTCGTTTTTGCTACCTTGTGGGCACCATGAACGGTTCTTCTCTGCAATGCACCTCTGCCAAGCCACCCTGCCTTGGAGCCAGCTGATAAAGGACTAACACCTCTACAATTGTGAGGTAACTAAACCTTTCCCCTTTAAACTAGGGGTGTTGGGTATTTTGTCTTAGCAATGAGAAAAAAGTACCTAAGACATTCACTCAAAACTGCTGTCCTGCCCCCCATACAATGTGGAATGTACAGTCTACAATTATCGAGTTGACTCAATTCAAAGATTGACACAGTGGAATATCAGAAAAAAATGAGACTTCTGGATTTTGAGTAGAGACAAAGCAGTAGAAGTGGAGGGAATGTGAAATTCTAGAAACCTTTTGATAATATTCCTTGACTTTCGAGAAGTGGGAGTAAGATGGAGCAGGTGGAGACGTCTGTTACCTGGAGGATGACTGAGTAGGTGCCACACAGCATCTTTGATAATTGAATGACCACTCTGATGAGGCAGACGATCACTTGAAGCCCGCTGAGGGTTATGAGAATAGAAAACAAAATGGCATTCCATTCCACCACGTGTGCAGGTTCCAGACACCAGGTCCACAGACTGGAGTTTGTAAGGAAACTGAGAGAGAGGGAGCAGATGGTCAACAAGATCCACGGCCAAGTCTGTACCCTTGATCCAAGAAAGAAGATACAGGTATTGATGTGTTTGGGAAATTAGTAGATACTACTAAACTTTATGGTAATATTAATGCATTATTATATTGGTAATATTGGAGCATAATATGATTATACATTTGGAAAACCATTCATTCATACATATACACACTGAACACACTGCATGCATATCCTTGAATTAGACATTTAGTTTGTTATAAATTGGTGTCTGTTTTACATGCAATTTCAGTTTAATTAGACAGCAAAACACACAGGAAAAGTTCTACAGCAGTGAAAGGCAGCACACATTAACACCCAGAGGCAGAAAGCCTTTCTCAAGAGGCCAAAGTGGGACAGAGATGGGATGGAGCTTATACTGCGCATAAAATCACACATGTGCCAAAATAGCAAAGAGATATTCTGTTAGTAATTCCTTGATTCTGACCCGAGCCCTTAAACAGCGACTCTCAAACTTGAGTTTGAGTATCCGGAGTATCCAAAAGTTTCAACAAGAAACGGATTGCTGGGCCCACCCCAGAGTGCTGGATTTGGGAGGTCTGGGTGAGATAGTCATTTCCGTTTTTCTAAGTCCCCAGGGGATGCTGCTGGTTTGCTGCCACTCTGGACCCCATAGTAAGAACCTCTGGTTCTGTCCTAGCTATTACAAAGATCTGACTGTGGGGTTGGAGTACAGCAGATTGAGGGTTTCAGACAGTGTAGTTTAACAAAGAATGTGAAAATTCAAAATTCAAACATTCCATGACAGTCTTTTTTTTTTTTTAACTTCAAAAAACTTTTTCTTAGTACATGTCTATAGTACATAATATTTACATTCCTTTGTGGAGGTGGTACATATACATAGCACATCTTAAATTCTTTTTCATCTCCTAATCTCTCCTCTCTCCCACCACCTCTTTATCTCCTTCCCATTTGAGGAACACACACACACACACACTGAATCAATCTGACTTGCTCATTCCCAGGTCTGTCTGGACCATTAGAACTAATTCTAAGGAGCTATAATGGTATGTAAGATCCTAATGAGATAATTGATAATGGGAAATAGGAAGAAAGGGGCTAAAGGTGTAGGGGAAGTGGGAAGGGTAGGGGAAAGGAAATAAGGGGAAAAAAACATGAAAAAATGGAAATAAAGTACTTGTAAATAGGGAAGGGAGGAGGGGGTGAAGGGAGGCTAGGGATAAGGGGAAAAAATGAGATCCAAGACCTGTCATGTAAAGGTACAAGATCCCAATGATGAATGTAACTGTACTGTATCCCGAAAATGTACCAAAAAACTCAAGGAGAATAAAAAGAACTACTCCTAAGGGCCAAACCCTCTCTATTCAGATAAATTAAAATGGAGAACTGGACTCTATGGAAAACCAGCCTATAAAAATAGTCATCACTCTATAGGGCAGAACTACAAATAGATATTCACAAGTACCATGAGTGAACAGTAAGGTGGTTCTATTTTTTTCAGAGCAACACTATGCAAACTGAGGGCTACACACCCGGCTGTGGGTATTGGTACCAGGGAAGGGAAGAGGTGAACCCTACTTTGGCGACCACTCTCTGTCCCATGAACTCTCCTCTTTGCTTTTCTTCCTCCTTCCTTCATTTATCTCCTACCCCTTTCCTTTTAACTCTCTTTTCCTCTACTTTTTAAAAATTTCCTGTCCTCTATTGCGACTGGAACCTCAGAGACTGCTGAAAATTTCTTAACCTTGCTAATGGCTCTTATCTCAAGTAGTAATGAGCACTGAATATGGAGTCAGCACTCCTGGATGTATAGGACTTTGGGGAAGGGACTTTAGCCTCTGACTTCCAGAGTCTTATCTGGATAATGGATTAATACATCCCGTTATTGCGAATATCTGGTAAGAAGTGTAGAAAGGTTGATTGGATCCTGTAAAACAACACAAATGTGATTTTCTGTTACTATTGTTCTAGATCTACCTTTTACCATCTGGTATCCTAACTCTGCCACAGCCACCAAGGAAGTCTCTCTCCAGATCCTTTCTCTGGACTGTTCCCATTGCATGCTGTGCACAGAGTATCCAACACTCTATAACCAGATGGCTTGAAGGGTTGCTATGTGTCTCCCAGAGGAGGTTACTCTTTGCTCTTTGTATGAACTAAGGAAAAGCATAAGTTCACTAGAAGGTGGGAAGGATTAGAGGAGCTTGCCCTGATACTCTCTCTCCACAGTCTCTGTAACCGATTTTATCCCATTGGTTGCAGTCCTGAATGTGTACTTGAACCAATTCATCAGCATCTGGTTCTATTTCCTTATCAGACTGTGTACTCTAAGGGCACTGATTGTATTTTATTCATCTCGAAAGGCCTAAGACATTAGGCAGCGCCCAGTATACTGTAAAGATCAATAAATATTTATTAAATGAAGATGGATTCAGAAAAATGCAGCCTCTCGTAGAGCTGGAATCAAGACACCTGGAAAACAACAACTTGGTGAAAAGGAAAAAAAAAAAGGAGATCTCTGAGAATCAGGAGGGAGCTGACAGGGAAACTAGAAACAACAGAGAAGTGGAAAAACAAGAAACAGGAGGAGAAAGGAACAAAACAGTCTGGGAAGCTGACCCCCTTCTCCCAGGAAGAGAATACTGTCTTTGCTGTTACAAGGTAAGAGGGTCAGCAGCCCCACGGAGAAAGAACAGACCGGACCGGTGGTGCTAGCCCCCCAAGAGCCCGTAGCTATTATAAACTGCACAAATTTGTGAGGCTTTACTCTGAAAGCAGCTTTTTCCACAAGTCAGGCTAGGGTTGGAGAAGAAACCCAGTGCAGTTTTTGCCATATTTGACAGTGTTTGATCAGGATCCATTTGGGGAAGGGGTTAATCATTTAAAGCTGAGTTACAGAACAATTACAGAACAACTATTCTGCAGAGCTTTTGGTGTCACCCTACCACGGTGACTGGGTATGCAATTGCCGCAAGTAACCATCATGGAGAGAGTGTGGGCTAGACATAGAAACCGATGAGAAATTTAAACTCAGGCCAGGAAGGATGCCAGTGCCCTGCCATTCGTGGTGAGAAGGCAGACTGATTGTACATAGCTTTCAGAGGGGGTTGGGTCTGAAAGTCCTGTCATTAAGTCCAGAGATTTGCTTGAATCCCAATCCCACTGCCTGCATCCAGCACAGAACTCAGTGGTCTGTCTGCTAGTCCCACCTACCATTGTGAGCAGGGAGAGGGCTCAGCTTGGACGGTTGCCACAGCCTGAAGTGTATGGACAGAGGGGACAGTGGAGAGGGACACCTCATCAAGCAGAGAAAGACATAACTTGGGAATACACAGAGGAACATGTTAACTAGAACCGTTGGAGTGACCAGAGTGGATCGTTGACTGACAACACCCAGGGGGAAAAATGAGACAAAATCCAGAATTCACACTCAGAAATAGGAGTGTGGAAACAAAATAGGTCTCAGCAGTGCCTCTCACCATCCCTCATCCCATATCCGGTGCAAACCTTAGAAAGAAAACAGTCATGCAAAATAAGAGAAACTTTTTTGACTCATTTCTTCTCCTCTCCATTCTGTCTTCATTGGTTTTCTGGGGTTTGAGTTTTTTCTTGTTTAACATTTTGCTCTCTGTTTTTTTCTGTTTTATCTTCTTGTTCTTGTTCTTTTCTGTTACTTTTATCTGATTCTATTAATTTTCTTTTACACCTTAATAGGATCCTTACTCTCACTTTCCTCTCTTCCTCATCCTTTATTTTTCAAATTTTACTTGTTTCATTCTTCCATTTCTGATCCACCCCCTCTTTACTCTTACTAGTATTAATCTTTAGGTATTTAGTTAAATCTATGCTATTTTTGTTGATTTTTTTTCTATTGTTAATGATGATATAGCTGTCACATTCAGTAGCTATTTAGTAGATGTCAACATTATCCAGTCTCTCTTTAAGTCTCTTACTGTTGCTGATTGTGTTTCAATGGCCAGGGTGGCACTGTTGTCCCTATTAATTGGTTTTATAGTATGTTGATATCTGGTTTATCTATCTGTCATAAACAGTACTGTGGCTCAATTCTGGAGAACTGGGTTCTGGGCCAACTTCACCGCCTGAACCCTCCCCTTTGAAATAACAGAGATGGTTGGATCTTGAGACAGAGACAAAGGTCCACAGCCATGACAAGAGTGTAACACTAAAAAGCAGAGACACTAACCAAAAAAATTTTACACTAACAACAAAGTCTTTCCACTGTAATGGATCTGTAAACTGTAGCATGGGTGTGCATGAACACACACACACACAAATAAGAAGACAAGGCAACTAATGCCTCTGAAAACTTCCAACTCACTCAAAGCTGACCCCTAGGGTGTCAATAGGAGGAAATTTAAAAAAACCAAATAGCTGAACTATACAAAATGATAAAAGATGGGACAAAAATCACAGATCAATAAGGTATTTGGTGAACTCAAAGATGATATAACTAAACAGATAATGACATAATAAAAGCAATCAGCTTACAGAAGACACTGAATAAAGCTGGTTGAGCCAAAAAAGATTTATACAAAACATGAATGACCATTTTAGCAAAGAATTAGAGTTCATACAAAAGTACTAAACAATAATCAAGGAGATGATAAAAGTTTCTGTTGAATGTATGGGCAGTAGAAGCAACCGATATGAGGACACACTATAAAAACTAGAAGCTAAGACTGATGCAGGTGACCATATATTCAAAAACACCTTAAAAACAACAATAAATCATGAAAAATGGATCCACCAGCTGCTAGATGATGCAAAGAACACTAATATAAGATTAATTGAAATTAGTGAAAAATCACAAGACAGTACGAATGGCATAAAGAACTGGTTTGCAGAAATAATAGCGGAAAATTTTCCAAGTATAGAGAAGGAATTTAATGTACAGACGACAAAGCATAAAGAACTCCAAATAGCCACAATCAGGAAAAGACTTCTCCAAAACACATCATGAACAAAACCTCAGAAGTCCAACCCAAATATAGAGTCTTAAAACCTTCTGGAGAAAAGCAACTAATCATTTATAAAGGTAAACTCATTAGAGTTACAATAGACTTGCCAACACAAACCTTAAAGGCCAACAGAAAAGGAGTAAATTGTTTCACACTCTAAAAGAAAACATCTTCCAACTAGATTAATGTGTCCTGAAAAAACATGTCTCACAATTGATGGAGAAATAAGGCATGGAAATCAGCCTGTATGTCCATCGACAGATGAATGTGTAAAGAAAATGTGGTATTTATACACAAGGAGGTCTATCCTTCTTTGCAATAAAGAAGGATAAATCTGAGCCAATCATAGGAAAATGGATGATCCTTGAGACCATAATGTTAAGTACAATAAATCAGACACATAAGCTTAAATATTTTATTCTCTCTTAGATGAGAGACCCAAAGTATAATAAAAAGAGCAAAAACAAAAGATAGAGAATAGAAAATATGGAGATTGAACTTTTGCAAAAGGAAAAGGGGTCAAGACAGGGAGGAGAGCATGAGAGAGGAGATAGGGAGGGGATGAAACATAAGTGCGGCGTGTTGTGTAGGGTACCAATTCCCCATCGTGAATGCAATCATTATATACCACAAACATGTGCCAATAAAAATGTTTTAAAAATAAGATGGATTCAGGATCTTCGCCAGTCATCATATGAGTCAGTGGCAGCATCATACACACTGGGCGGCTGGCAGAATGAATGTCACATGGCAGAAAGGTGCATGCAGAGTAATGACCTAATAAAGTAATGACACTAATAAAAAATCTTGGCATGTCATAAAAACTTATTACATCTCCCTTGTGCATTACTTCTATTTAATACTCAATTCTGTGAGTTAGAAAAGATTATTATTTCCAACTTGTAGTGACTCAGAGATATCAGATATTTGCCAAAGGTCACAGATCTTATTAGTAGGAGAGAAAAGACTAGAAGCACCAAAGATCTACACTCCAAGGGCAACTTTCACCCTAGGGCTTCTATCTCTAGTTTTCCATTAGGTCCTAGGTGGTGGTGGGAGGAGCGGCTCTCTATACTTTATCTCTGATTCTGTAGCACTTGGCCCAACTGCTCCACAACATAGTAGGTACTCAGTAAATATTTGCTGAAACAGTTATCCAAGTGAATAACTGAGAGGCTCTATTTCCCTGTTCCACCCTGCATCTCTAAGTTTTGGAAACTTCTAGAAGACCAGAAACTACCTTCCTAATGTGACCTCCAAACATTTTTATACAGACAGAGGAGGTGAAAACGAGCATCAGAGACAACTTATAGGAGTGGTGGAGAGGCATGTGGGCAGCCTGAAATTTATGCGTTGAAAGAGGACACATTTCAGTTTGGTGGCAGGGAAAATTTCAGGGGCTGGTAGCATAAAAGAAGGGATGGGGTCTTCCAACCCTTGAAGGAATTTGTATATTAAATGCTTTTCTTCAGCCCCTTCAATCTCACAAGAGTTTCTCCTCCAATTACTCAAGCCCTGCAGTTACTGTCTGGGTCCCCCTTACCTAAAGGAGATCCCTGCTTCCTAAAAGAAGTCAAGCATGTCACCCATTATCAGATGTCCACAATGAAGGAGCTCTGGGCAGTTCTGCCATGCCTGTGACATCCAGATAGACAATGCCCTTGAGCACATCTAGCTGATCGCTGGGAGCTGAGAAGAAAATGTAACTTCCCCAGTGAATGGTAGACCCTCTCATAGTTTATTCCATTAGAATGCTGAGCACAGAACAAAGACAAAGAGACTCAATGGGCCTCTCATATTTATTTCTGGGCCCAAGCTATGTCAGCAGGTACTGGTCACCCAATAAAGCCAGCACAGGGCCAGAGTGAGGCATTCTGAGAGTCAAGGTTGGGTTGCTAGATCTACCAGAGTTCTGGGCAAGCTAAGTGGGCCCCTGGCTCCTTCCAGAACCTCGGGTATCAAGTTGTGTTCCTGGATCTCAGAGCGGGTGTCTCACTCACTTGGTTCTATCTCTGCTTTGCCCCTGTTGCTGTAGCACAGAGGGGCACTATGGATGGACATCACAACTTCCTCCCAGCCAAGCCCCTTCCGCACCTGTAAAAAATCCTATGTCCAACCTGGCCACAAAATGAGACTGAATTGCTGGAACCAATCAGGCCCCAAGTGCCACAATAACCCTGAGGTCCTACTCTGAAACATGAGAAAACATACCTTTCATTTGGATATGTCCGTGATAGCCCCCCAAATATTGGATGCATATTGCAATAAAAGACTGGAGACTGTAAACATCTAATTAAAGATCTGTGCAGGAATGAACAAATTGATCTGGATATTAGTAAGTTAGTAGGAAAAGTTTGCATGGTGGCCACGTAGAACCCCACGGTTCCTGTGGCAAATGGGGGGCAGTGTGGGGCCAGGGGTTTCTGGGTTTCTGAGCTCCTTGGTTTGGGGAGTTACTCCTTACCGTCCTGCAGTGCCTTCAAATGCATAGTGCCAGCCATCCTGGGTGCGGCAGTATGGGCCCTGGACAAGACCCAAAGCAGACATGACCAGGCAGTATCCAGAGAAAGCAATTCCAAGGGCAGAAAAGATAAACGACAGCAGTGTCTAAAGTAAACATAGGAGAAGGTTATTGCCACGGACTGAGACAAAGGGGTCGTGTGGGTACATTTTCAAGCGGCTACTCCCCCTTCTGATCCACATACACTGCGGCTTACACAATGCCCAACGTCAGGGCAGACAGAAACATTTAACCAGAATATAGGTGATATTTAAAATATCTCTGAAAATGACCATTTGTTTGCCATCATACAGCGAGAACTAGTACTGAATTTTTCCCCCTTTTCTGGAATTTTAACATCAAAATAAAGGATCTCCTCTTACAGAAATGCAGTGAAAGGATGTGACTGATCAACCCTCATTATTTATAAACCCCGTTCTTTTCTGGACTCGCAGGGTTCTGTAAGAACGTTAAGCTCTGGGCTTTCATTCTGTGAAGATAAGTTAATGTTTTCACACGAAGGAACGAAAAGGGGCCTATCGTGTGCAAGTCTGGGTATTCGCGCTCACACGCGGATGGCAGGGAGGGGTGGAGGGTGTGTCCATCTGAGCGGGAGCAGGGGTCACATTCACAGGCAGCTGGTGCAAGAGAGTCGGGAGCGGTGAGCAGTGTGGTCTGACCACAGGAGCGAGGGGAGAAGCTCCGAAGAGCAAATCGCCCTGGTGCCCATGTAGAGAGACGTTTGACGGAACACGCTTCAGCCTTCAGTGATCACACAGCAAGGACAGCTCCACAGATGCCTGAATGCTGGGTCACAGACCCGCACTTCCTCCTTGACTAAGGACATCTTCCCAACAACATTTAACTTAACATTGTTAAGTCCATAAAAAAGTCGAAAGTGTAGTGCCGCGAATCCCCGTGTGCCTTGTATCCAGGCTGCCTCGTCCTGAATATGGAAGCTCATCTGTGCCCCCTGCATGTGTACAGTGTATACACGCACACAGACATATATTTATTCATATATCTGTGTTGCTGACTCATTTGAAAGAGAGTTTGCAGACTTTATAATCTTAACTACATCTTTTCCAAGGATAACAACAGTTTATTGCTTTGTAACTCTTCAAAACTTTTTTGTAAAAGGTCCGAGGATACAAGGGTGTCATTTCCTTTCATCTGCACCAGTTTGACTTTGTGCTTTTCATAATATTGATATTTTTTTAAAAAGAAAGGTCAGCCTATTGTCGTATGATTACCCACATTCTGGGCTTTTCTAATTGTTTCCGCACACGTGGATGCAGATATTTTGTCAAGAATACTTGAATGGTATGCTTTATACTGTGCACCCTTCATGCTATCAGTGGTGCTAAGTTTGTTCTCCTGGCTAAGGGCGTCATTCAGAACTCTCCCCTGTGCAGGTACATTTTCTGTTTTGAAATTAGTAAAGAATCGGTGAGGCAGTGCTTGGAGGCAGTGTCATAGCCATTTCCTAACAACATTTCCCTGATGGATCTAGCAACCACTGGTGAGCCTCCTGCCCACTGATCACCAGGGCTTGCAATGTGCAGCTTTAAAATTCTATCATGTCCTCGTATTTTATGCTATCATTTTTCCTGTACAGAATTTTCAAGTTCCCTTTCTCTCTCCTTTGCTCCTCTCTTTCAAGATTACTTCGGATTCATAGGTTATATAACATAATGTGCTACAATCCCAACCTCCATTACTCTGTTAACTGTCCAGATTTGGCCATCAGAAAACCCATTTATTTGTTTTTTTAGGGGGAGGGTTGTTTTTTGTTTTTTTGAGACAGGGTCTCACTATGTAGTTGAGACTGACCTGGAACTAACTATGTAGCCTAGGCTGGTCTCGAACTCACAGCGATCCTCCTGCCTCAGCCTCCCGAGTGCTGGGATTACAGGCATGCGCCACCATGACTGGCTCAGAAACCCCATTTATTGCAGCCAATGTCCTTTGATATCCCCCACCCTGTTTTGAGCACTCCCTTGCTTTCCAGGGTTCTTGGTTTATTTTGAACTCATCTTGTCTTGTTTTTCTGAGAAGTCATAAAGCTGGTTTTTGAGCAAAGAAGTGACATGACCAAATGTACTTCTGGAAGATCTCTTAGTGGTGGTGGCAGCACATGATCTGAAAGTGAGAGGGCCCGAAGATAAAGATTCCATGTGGAGGCAACTTCCGTGCCAAAGACATGCACAGGAGGAAAACACGTCAAGGGGGCGCAGAGGGGCCGAATGAACAACCCTAAGTTAGGGTTTGGACGACGAGCATACACAAACAGGGATGTTAAGAAGGGTAATTTGGTTTGGGGGAAAATGAATCTATTTTAAAATATGTTAATGTGAAGGTAAAAGTAAGACACAAAAAAATCAATATGTAATAACTACTTGATAAATCCATAAGCTGAGACCAGAAACAGCTAGAACACCAAACCTGTGATGTCAGGAATAAAATTACATCAAATTATATTTCTTTGTTTAAAATTTTTCCACTGCTTATACATTAGTACATCTTTTTCTTTTTTTTTGGTACTGGGGATCAAACTCGGGACCTTGCACTTGCAAGGCAGGTGCAGTGCCATTGAGCTAAATCCCCAGTCCCGGAGCTACATTTTTTGAGAGTAGAATAGTCATACTTTATAAGGCAAATCTGCCTGTGCTCATTTATTTGTTTATTTCCAACTTTAATAAAGGAAGAAGGGTGTTTTGAAAGGAGTCAGACCCTTGCTTATCAAATGGCCCTTAATCAGTTCAGCAGGAAGATTAGTGGGGAATTTTCACTTGGGGAAATTGGCAGCCACCACAGATGTATGCACACTTGGACACACACACCACTGCACTGTCGAGGCAAGCCTCAAGGGAGTGGAATGAGCATCTCTCTGAACCATAATTTCATTCTCTGTAAACTGTAGATGATATAGCAGCTGTTTGGAAAAATTAAAACATTACAATTATTAGCTATTATTTCAAATGAACTTGTTTAACCAATATTTACTTTCTAAGGAAAACTGCCCAAGAATTTTGGCTGAAAACCAAACTGTTGCTGTTTTTACAAACATTACTTAGGGTGGATAATGTATAAACAACAAAATGTTAGTGCTCTCAGTCCTGAAGGCTGGGAAGTCCAACATGAAATTGCCCCAGATGTGGTATCTAAGGAAGGTCTGTCCTTTGTAAACACCACTTTCTATGTGTTCTCACACAGTGGAAGATGTCAAGAATACTCTTCAAAGGCTCAGGGATTTAGCTCAGTGGTTCTGCTGCCTGCCTCGCAAGGGCCCGAGTTCAAACCCTGGTGCCAAAAAACCCAAAACAAAACAAAACAAAACAAAAAACCCTTCAAGTTCTTTTAGGTACTAAACCAATTTCTGATGGAAGAGTCCTCATGACTGAATAACTTAATTAAGCAAAGTGCTTAATTCCACAATGGGGGTTAAGTTTCAATATGAATTTGAAGGAACACATCCACAAGCAACAAGTGAATTTTAGGTGACCTCAATTTTCATTACAGAGATGCAAAAGTACCAAATTGGTTCAGGCTTCAGTTTGGCCAGCAAGATGTGTTTCATTTGGTTTAAATGAGAATTAACTGTCCATATTTTATTGTTGACACACTATATTAACAGAGTCATGGACAAAAACCATATGATCCTCTCGATAGATACAGAAAAAGCATTTGACAACACCCATTCATGATAAAAACCCTGCAAAAAATTGGAATAGGTGGTCTATATCTCAACTTAGTAAAGGCTATCTATGAAAAAACCAACAGCCAACATCATATTAAATGCCCAAAACCGAAAACCTTCACCTTAAAATCAGGAACAAGACAAGGATGCCCACTATCACCACTCCTCTTCAATATAGTTCTGGAAACATTAGCCACAGCAATTAGACAAGAGAAAGAAATTAAAGCAATAAAGAGAGGAAAGGAAGAAGTTAAACTGTCATTATTTGCTGATGATATGATACTCTACATTGAAGACCCAAAAAACTCCACCAAAAGACTTCTAGACTTGATTGACACTTTTAGCAGAGTAGCTGGATACAAGGTCAGCACTCAAAAATCAATAGCCTTCTTGTACACAAGTAACAGACTCACTGAGAGAGAAATCAGGGAAACAATTCCTTTCACAATAGCATCCAAAAAATTGAAGTATCTAGGAATCAACCTAACAAAAGAAGCAAAAGACCTCTACACTGAAAACTACAGCACTCTGAAAAAAGAGATCAAAGAGGATATAAGAAAATGGAAAGATATCCCCTGCTCCTGGGTAGGAAGAATCAACATAGTGAAAATGGCCATACTACCAAAACTGCTATACAGATGCAATGCAATGCCAATTGAAATTCCAACACTATACTTCACAGAACTAGAAAAAAGAATCCAAAAATTCATTTGGAACCAGAAGAGACCTAGAATATCAAAAGCCATCCTAGGCAACAGAGACATGGCAGCGGGTATAACAATTCCCAATTTGAAACTATACTACAAAGCCACTGTGATAAAAACAGCATGGACTGGCAAAGAAACAGACCTGAGGATCAGTGGAACAGATTGGAAGATACAAAAACAACTGCAGATAAACTCAGCTACCTCATCTTTGACAAAGGAGCCAACCATCCTCACTGGAGGCAAGATAGTCTCTTTAATAAATGGTGTTGGAAAAACTGGATCTCAACCTGCCAAAGATTAAAACTAGATCCTTATCTCTCACCATGCACTAAACTAAAATCCAAGTGGATTAAATATCTAAATATTAAAACAGAAACACCAAACTTGCTGGAAGATAAGTTAAGCAGAACTCTTGAAGACATTGGCATAGGGAAAGATTTTATGAACAAATCCTCAGTAGCATGGGAACTAGCAGAAAGAATCAACAACTGGGATCTCATCTTTTTAAAAACCTTCTGCACTGCAAAAGAAAACATCAACAGAACTAAAAGACAACCTACAATGTGAGAAAAAAATTTTTACCAGCTGCTCCTCAGACAGAGGACTATTATCTAGAATATATAAGAACTCAAAAATATCAGGCCCCCAAATATAAAGACCCAATCAAAAATGGGCATCTGAAATGAACAGATATTTCTCAGACAAAGAAGTAAAAGCAGCAAGTAAATATATGAAAAAATATTCCACATCTCTGGTCATTCGAGAGATGTAGATGAAAACAACATTGAGATTCCACCTCACCCCACAAAGAATGCCTGCTATCAAGAAATCAAACAACAAATGTTGGCAGGGTTGTGGGGAGAAAGGAACCCTTCTCCATTGTTGGTGGGAGTGCAGACTGGTGCAACCACTATGGAAATCAATATGGAGATACCTCAAAGAGCTGGGACTAGAGGTTCCATTTGACCCAGCCATCCCTCTTCTGGGTATCTTTCCAAAAGAATTCAAAGAATCATATCACAGTGATATATGCACACCTATGTTTATAGCTGCAGTGTATAATAGCTAAAACTTGGAAAAAGCCCATCTGCCCATCAGTTGGAAACTGGATAAAGATGTGGTTTTTCTATAACATGGAATACTCCTCAGCCATAAAGAATGAGAAGGTAGATTCACTCATAGGAAAATGTATACATACTGAGGATATACTCCTAAGTGAAATAAATAAGTCACACATGTTCAAATACTGAATAGTTTGTCTGGTGTGAAAAACTATAATAGTACATAAGAGCCTAATGATATATTGACCATGTGTAATAGGAAGCAAAGGGCTAAAGGTGTAGGGAGAGTGGGAGGGGTGGGGGAAAGGTAAGAAGGGAAAAGAAAAAAATACGAGAAAATGGAAATAAAGTGTTTGTAAATGGGGAGGGGAGGAGGGGGTGAAGGGAGGGCAGGGACAAGGGGAAAAATGAGAACCAAGACCTGTCATGTAGAGGTACAAGATCCCAATGATGAATGTAACTGTACTGTATACCTAAAATGTACCAATAAACTCAATGAGAAAGAAATATTTTATTGTTGAGAACATATATAAAAACCTGTATTTCTACTGAAAACTGGGAATTATCATCAATTTTATCATAGTAACACTTGACTGGTCTTGAGTAGCAGCTCCCTCACAGACCGACTTTTGCTCTAATGCCTACCCGGCTCACTTTGGTTTACATCACGTTTGGCTCTGGGGCACATGAAGTGCAACCTCATTTACAAGCCTATCTTGAAAAGGCAAACAAGGAAGAAAGGACTCTGCCCCCTTGCTCTGCTCTCCCTAATGAGATGTCAGTCATCTCCTTCAATGCTGAATATAAGACAATATTCAAGCTAGTTCTAGCAGCCTTTCATGCTGGAGATGCTAATGGTAAGTTAAAATAAATGGAATGTTGATTTTATTACATACTTAGTGAGCAACACATTTGATCTTAGAATTTCCCTGAACATAATAGTGTTATAGCTTCAATGTGCACATGAATCCATTTCTTACCTAAACAATCTTGAAAGCTCTCCCATATTATAATACAACTACTGTGTCTATGGGGGATATCTGAGTACACACACACACACACACACACACACACACACTCACGCACACGTACAAGGGGGGAGAGAGAGGGAGGAAGTGAAAGAGAGAGATTGTATTTCAATTCTTCTCAACTAGGACACAGTGCTAAATTAAGCAACTAATTTCCTTTTCTAGAGGCACCAGTGAAAGAAAGTTGGCTGTACCAACCTGGCTACCCATTAAACTCTCCTGAGAGATTTTGAAAAGTCCATATCCAGGTCATACCTCAGCCAGATAAAGTCAGAGACTCCAGGTGGGAGTCGGGTGCTAGTATTTATGTGGGTTCCGAGGTGAGTGCAAGGTGGAGCCGTTCTGCAAAGAAACGCCCACCAGCCCTTGTGGTAAATGTCCTCCTACTTATCATTTCTTCAGTCACAGGGGCCCCTTCTATAAAATAGGAGCAGTGATGGCCTAATTCACTGCGTAAAGCTGAAAGAACTATAAAGTGCTATGCAAGGATGAGTTAACGATGATAAGGGGAGGAGAAGGAGGTTAACGGTGGAAACGTGGGAGTCCAGGTCTGCCTGTTAAGCCTGGGCTGGGAAAACCTTGTATTATTCACTCTGGTGCCACTTTAATTATTTTTAAAGTTCTAATTTTAAAAAGCACATCATATATGCCTAACAACAGAGATGAATCTAAAAATCACTTTGCTGTGTGACAGAAGCCAGATTAAAAAATGCAAATACTGTAAGATTCATTTTATATTAAATATAAACTAATCTGTAGTGAAAAAGGACAGTTCAAAGGTTAATCTTTGGGAGTAATGGAAATGTTCTTATCTTGAGTCTCATAAATGCATCCAATGGCTAAAATTCATGTAATTGTACACCTTCAATGGATGCCATCTATTGTACATAAATTAGCCTTCAGTGATGTAGATAAGGGACAAACTAGACACCTAGAAACCCACTTAGGAGAAAGAAATATTGTTTTGTAATTTTACATATATTTAAATACTGGATTTCTGGCAGAGCATCAGCAGAATGAAGGTGAGGAAATAGCGTAAACAAAGTAGAAGAAGGCCTCAGGAGTGAACTTCCGGTCTCTGAGTGACAGGACTTGGAGAAAGTGTGATGGCGTCAATGTTTCCACGTTCCTGAATGAGAGGAAAGGAAGCTGGAGCCGCTCACCCACCCCCAGCCCACCCCAGACTATCACTCTTACCATGTACTTTCTGCTGCAGTTTTCACTCTGGCAACATTTATATTTATTATCCAGGACAAGGAGAACTGCAGCTACTACAAGCATCTGTAAGGAGGGAAGAAATGTGAGAAATGGAGTGCTGCTTCACGCTCCTGCTCCTCATCAGAGAACAGCAACTCCAAGCGCAGTCCTTGGAGTCATGCGGACCTGGGTTCAAATCCCAGCTCCGCCTCTTGCCGGCTGTGAGAACCCTTCCCTACAGCACGGTGTGAGAACTCGCTTTCCTGAGTTGTCAGGAGACAGAATGCAACATTTGAGCTTAGTGCTACATTCAGAGTAAGTGTTTGATAAATATTAGCTATTATCCAAAGCTAATGATTAAGAAGGAGCACATGGGAGGGTCAGGAGAGTGCCATCTTTGGCGGGAAAGCTGCTTTTCTCACTGAGTTGTGGAGGACAAAGGAAAGCTATTCACCAGAGGTGGGGTTTGACAGCCTCTCTGCATTACTGCCCTCTGGGAATGGAGGTGACAGGCATAGTTAATCTGAAACCGCGTTTCTTTAAAAGTCAGTTTAGTTTCCCCACACAGCCATCTCAGGTTCCAATTTTCCAGTGTGTTTTGTCTGTTTCAAGCAGCAAACTAAAGAATCCTATGTATTCTACTTCCCCCCACACTCTTAAAAAGGATCTCAAGCTACGCAAAGAATGTGGATGTCTTTACTGTAATGATTTTTGGTGAAGGCAGATATGGATTGCAAACTGGGAAATTCTCCATTCCTCCTTATACCTAATGCTCGATACCAAATCCACACTGTTCTTTTACCATCTGTAACCAATATTTCCAGTTTCCAAATTCCTTCAGCTTTTGTTTCTTTATCTGTCAATTTAGTTGTTTATCTGTATTTCTCCCCTTTCTCCTAAAAATCTTTTATGTAGTTAAAATAATAAATTTCCTAGAAAATTAAAGTAATTCCTAAAAATAAGAAACAGGTTGCTTCCTATTTTAAATTTTATCTGGACTTTAAGCTGGTGAGTCTTATATCTTTCTCTCTCCAATACCATTAGTTACTACAGATTTTAATAGATTCTGGTTTAACCTTTTCTTCCCCTCATACCGGAGATTGGATTTAGGACCTTGTACTTTTGCAAGGCAGGTGTGGTGCCACTGAGCTAAATCCCTAGCCCGATTCTGATTTAATCTTATTTATGCCTTGCTCCTTTTTGATTTATTATAATTACATATTGAGAAAGCAATAGTGGGATAAAGGTGAAGTACAATATTGGTAGAAATAATTAACTCCATGCCCCAGTGTCCTGTTGCTTAGACATCAACTGTTGAAAGACAGATTGCCTTGCTTTTGTTTGTTTGTTTGTTTTCAAGCATAACCACAATACAGGGGACTCAAAAATATTGGAGGAAAATTACCCATAATTCCACCACATGCGGGTGTTTTAGCATACTTTTTTTCAGTGTTTTCTTATACCCATGTGTCTCACGTAGTTGCAATACTAATTTATCCCATTTTGTTGTATATTTTGCACTTAATATAAAATAATGTGCATGTTTTTATGTTGTCATATCTTCCTAATTACGTTTTTACCAATCTATGAGGAGACTACGCCAGAATTTATTCAGCCTTTCTCTGCTAGGATGCTCCTTCTAATTGCTTACTCTCGTAAATAATGCTATCACAATGTCTGCGTGTATCACTCTTTCATTATGTTGGAGTATTTCCTCAGAATTAATAATAAGATTTAGGATTACTGAGTCAAAGGGCGTAATCATTTTCCTAGATGCTGAAATAGTATACCCACTCTGCTCCCAAAGATTTGCATTTATTTGTAATGCCACGAAGAACATTAGTTATGTACCTATTACATGGAAACTTCAATGGCAGTGGACACTAATATCTTAAGGTTTACTAATTGAATATGGAAAATAAAATGAAACAAAAACTGCTTTCCCGTATAACTATTCAAATATTTTAATAATCAGACACACAGGGCTGGGGATTTAGTTCAGTGGCACTGCCTGCCTCACAAGCACAAGGTCCTGGGTTTGATCTCCAGTACCCCCCCAAAAAATTACACACACAAAGATGTAGAGATAGATTATAATGAATTTTCTTCGACATGAATTACAGCCTTGCAAAGTTACAGTATACAATGCATTGTTTTTAGAAATGGGATGATCAGGAAAAATTTTTTTTCCTCTAGGTTGCCAACATGATCTGCTATCAGTTTGTTTATTTTTTAAAGCATACAATACTATGAGGAAAGCATGAGTTCTTAGCACTGGCGATTTGACTTCATATGTAAAAAAACACCCTTCGTCCATCCTATTGGAGTTATAAGGGAGGGCTATTTCGAGCTGATAATGTCCCAGGCTCTGATGAGTATTTTATAATCACGATAGCACTGACTACTTACTACTGTAGCAGCTCTATCCTAGGCGCTTTAAGTGATTTTATCTAACCCTCACAAATCCTTTGAAAATTAAATGTCATTATTAACGTTTTCAACACAAGGCTCTGAGGCTCACTGGTTTTGTTGCCGAAGTTCTCACAGCATGTGTGACACAGCTGAGCTTTGAAGGCAGGTTTGTCTGAACCTCTGTGTCACTGACATTTCCATGCTGCCACAATGTCCCCTCGGGCTACAGAAATCTTCCAGACACAAAATCTGCTCTAGAAAAGAATAATGCGACTGAGGACTAAGTAGTTATAACTCACGGGGTTTGGGATACTTTTCAATTTATTGTTTTTACAAGGCAGTGACCCACAAACTTTCATTTGGGACGTACTTCCTGCTTTGCTGAAGTTACATCGCTGAGTAGCTTATTGAAAACAAAGCTGCACCCGAAATCCTAAAGGACTACCTCCCCATCCACCTCTACCCATCTTCCAGATCTCAAAGCTAAGATCAGTAGGATGATTTTCTGTAGCTCCCCCTTCTGCAATCCCAAATCTAAAAGTCACACTTACCATTACTCCTGAGAAACAGAGTCCTTCAAAATACCACACGTAGTTGGTGAGTTTATTGCTGGATGCATAGAAAGTTTGCCCATTTGGGAAATATAATAATATATTCACAATGATACTCCAAAGTGCAAGAGGAATCAGCAGACAACTTAGGCAGCCTCCACACTTCCAAGACCCCATTTTTTCCCTGCTTGGAACCTGCAGATTTCAAGAGTACAGAATCACATAAAGCTTGTCTTTCTTCCCACCTGTCTTTTTTGCTTCCTTTTATATTACCTGCCACTTTCTGGGTCAGAGGGCTTCACTTCATATTCATGAGGAGCCAGGACTTGGACTACAACGGCAGCTAACAACCTCAGTGTGAAATAGTGGTTTACTGTTCAGAGAACAATAGATGATGGTCTCGCTGAAGAGCTGAGCTGGTCTTCATCCTGTGCCAAAAGAATGCAGTGTTATTCACTGCTTTTGAAAATAAGTCATTTTCCTCTGAATTAGAGCATGTGAGACCTAACCCTGAAGAAGGAAGTTAAAGGGGGAGCTGGGATTGAGTCGGGTAAATTTCAACCAGCAGTAAGAAAAGAGAGAGAGAGTTAAAGAGAAAACTACCAAGGATGCTCATTCTAGAGCATGGTATGCTTGTTAGCCTTTTTTATATATTGCTCTTTAACCCAGGTGACGATCAAGCATTATTCAAACTGGAAGAGGTACACAGAGGACTAAGAAAGGAACCAGTGAGAAAAACAAGGCATCACAATTGGTGACTTAATTGTTATCAGATCTGTACAGCTTTCTTTCCATGAATCCACACCTATCACCTCTGCCTCTCGAGCATAAATGCAAGGAAAAGAAAAGAAAGGAAGGTGGATAATTTCATTAAGATTTTGTAAGCAGTGAGTTTGAAACAAGGATTAGGAATTCTGCCTTCCAAATTATTGCCTTAAATTCAAAGAGCCACAGATGTCCCTGATCATGATGACGTGAGAAAGGAATTATGGAAAAGAGGCTGGGCCCTAGCCTGTTACAGACGATGTGAACACAGCAGAAAAACCCTCAAGGATTGCTTGAAATAGATTTCAATCCTTCTACTCGGACCCTGCTTAACTCAATTTTCTTAAGTTTCATTTTCCTCAGCTATGAAATGGGGTTATCCCAGAATAATAATGTGAAGATTAACAAGATTGTTTATGCAAAACATCCTATCAGGTGCATATAAACATCCGTAACTAGAAGCCATCGTTAATCTCTCTCCCTCTCCCCACCTCCACTTGCTGCGGATGGAACCCAAGGCCTCATACATGCTGGGCAATCACTCTACCACTCATTACAGCTGCAGCCAGACAGTCATCAGTCAGTAATAAAAGGGGCTCTAGCAGGATAAGGCAGGAGGATAGAAAGTTTGAGCCATGCCAGGACAACTTAGCAAGACCCTGTGTCAAAATAAAAATCAACAATAAAATAAAACTAACAATATAAACAAATATAACAAAATAAAATTAACAATAATAATAATAATTATTATTATTATCATTATTGCAGGTAAAGGAACATAATTGTCAGAATAATACAGAGATCAGAAGATAGTTTGCTTATTTATTCTTTGTATCCAAAGAGTTCTGAAACATGAAATCCAAAAATCTTATTACCAAAACTATTTACATTTAATATGATCTTATTTTCCTGAAATTATTAATACTTTATAGCATATATGCTTTTGATTCAAGAGAATCAAATTTTACTTTCACAAGCAGGATTGTAATATTGCATTATCATTATACCTTTACTTAGAAAAGTCAGATGCTTGGAACCACTTTTGGATTCAAATGAAACAGAGAACTTGGCAGGAGACAGCTCAAAGATAGAGGACAAGATAACGGGAGGTAAGGACCTGAGAGGGCCAGAGACTGGAATGATCGCTCACAACAGATGTCAGGATCAGCAATGGCAGGTGTAGACAGAGTGGCTCACTTAGAAAGCTCCTTAGAAAGCTTAGAAGTCACCTTGAAGGAGAGTAAAGGAAATGTGAGATGTGATGGAAAAGTTATCCAGTATTGAAATTGACAGTTCTTCAAATATTTATTACCATGCCCCACTACACGCATCAACTTACTTACTTATTTTCTTTTTTTTTTGTACCCGGGATCGAACTCAAGCAACTTTCAAACAGAGCTGCTTTAAAAATGGAAAATGTTTTATTTTCCTCACTCTGAAACCTGCTCTGATGGAGGTTCGAACAGGCACTGAAAGGAGGAGCAGGAACAGAGTAAAAAGGAGAACAAGATCACCACAGAAGAGAGTCAGCACCTACAGAGAAGCCCAGGAGCTGCAGGGTTGGATCAGACAGATTTGCCAGGTTCTAAGGAGGTTTAACCTAGTTGAGATTTCATAAAATTATTTATTGATGATATTTTGTATTTTAGAGAGGAATGACAAGAATGCATTTTGTTGAAGTTTATGGAGAATGTTGCCTTAGAATGTTTTCTGCATTGTAGAATAACCATGGCTTCCAGGAATTTTCAAGTCAGTGAGGTGAACTATTGCGCTCAGTCAGAGACCCCTCAAAATTATCATGATGAATTGCCAGCTACTGAGTATCTTCCATGTGCCAGGCTCTATGCTAGAAGCTTTCACAAGTATTAAAAATAAAAAAAGAAACTTCCCCATTAACTCTTTCAGCGATGCTAAAGTAAAGGCTTTCTTACCCCATTTTACATGTGTACAAAAATCATCTAAGAATAATTTTAGAAACATAATCGGGATCTCGACGTTGAGTCCAAGTCTTTTATACATTTTGGACTACTGCATCACTTATCCTGGCCTGATACCTTTCCTTGCAAGGACTGCCTTCTCTTTCTTTGCAAATAGGTTTCAGGGACATTCTGATTCCTTGGTAGTGACTGCTTACAGGGCCATTCTGAAGGTCTACTGACTCTGGGGAGAGGTATCTTCAGGCCAGATATATTGCCTAAATAGGTAATGTATTACCTATCTGCTATTACATATCTGCTACAGATATGGGATCAAAGAAGGACAAAGTACATAGCTAGTATTCCCTTGACTCGGTCAATATTCAAATAGTGTGTGGTTTCATGTGAACAGTGATAGTTTCATAGGTAGTTATTAAGACTTCAGGGACATGCTTGACCGATTGTCATTTGGAAGACTGCTCAGTAAGAGCAACAAAATGAAGGAAGAGAATGTAACTGGCTGAAAACCTTGACGAAATTGTTAAAAATGAAGTTGAGCAATTTCCTTACCTTTGGTTATCCCATTAGTGAAAATATCTAATGAAGTCTCTTCAGAGAATGAAAACCTTTACTTCATTTTATTCATAGGAAAAGTTTTTAACCTGCTTCTGAAAAAATATATCATGTCCAAATTAACAAAATCTTTGAAGCTCGTCGCCTGTAGTAAGCTACCAATTTTCCTGCCAAAAATTTATTCCTAAATCAGGATTTTCTTGCCGGTCTCCAGTAACCGTGAAGAGTCACCGGAATGTTGTGCTTATTGGCTACTTCTGATCTCAGCTTCCTGTTCTCAACAGCAGAGAGGAGGAAATCCGCAGGATGCCTGCTACCCGGAGACGGTGTGACTCGGGAGGAAACATTCCACCTAAAATAGTCTTGGTGTGCAGCCTCTGAGTCATTGTGGGGGTCAAGGTTCATGTGTGTCCTGAAGTTAGCTCCACAGGTGATCAAGAACAGGAAAGGAGGAAGCATCTGAAAGAAGTTTATCGAAGAGAAAAGTATATGAAAAACAATTATCAGCAGAAAGGGCTAGTATTTAGAGAAAAATTTTATTCTGAGAATTCAAAGAGGGTGAATTGCGATTTCTTCCATTGACCATGGGCACAAAGACCTGGTTGGGGTCCGTAAGGACCCACTGGGCATGAATGTTTGTCTAAAAACACATTAGGACAGCAGCAGTGAAACAGCTGTGTAAACAGAAGCAACGTTCCTGACTTTTGTGTTTGACATTCTTTCTCAAGAATTATCTGGACGAAAATGTCTACCGCGCCAGTAGACTCTAGGTTTATCTTTAACTGATGGTAAACATCTAGCTTTTTGCTTACTAGGAGAAGAACAGGAGTGTACAGTTTCTATCTAAAGCCCTTCCAGCAATATGCTGCCCTTGGGATGTCCTCTCTGACCTTGGGCATTCCCACCATGTGCTCTCCTCCAGAGAGTCCACTCATGTATCCAGACTGTCCGTAGTGAGGGACTGGAAAATGATTCTTGAAATCTGTATTAACCATCTATCTGGTTTCTGAGGCAAAGAGCACCCATCCCCTGCCCCAGAATGCCTAGAGTCTAGCTGAGGAAATATGTATGTTTAACAACAGATTTGCAATAAAAAATTTTGAGTCTCCAGGAGATTAAACCTTGGCTTTGTTGTTGTTGTTGTTGTTTTGAGACAGGGTTTCGCTATGTAGTTCAGATTGCTCTGGAACTCACTGTGTAGCCCACTGGTCTCGAACTCACAGTGATCCTCTTGCCTCAGCCTCCGGAGTGCTGGGATTACAGGTGTACACCACCACACCCAGCTAACCTTGGCCTTTTGAAAGGATGAAAACCTCGAATGGAGTTTGGTTTAGCAGAGATTTCTTGGAAGGTTGGAGACAAAGCTGAGCCCCCAAGTGAAGAAGCAGGTAAGCTGGGCAACCTGAGGGTCAATAAAAATTAAATGTTCATCAAAAATGCAGTATATGATATTTAAGTGAATAGGGGAAAAATGCTGAAGCATCTTTCAGAGACATTGGCAAAATGTGAATGGAGATGGTACAAGACAATGTTAGAACAGTCTGGGTGTGATACTGGTATTTCGGTGTGAAGACGATTGTTCTGGTATTTAGAAGATGCATGCGTCTTACTTTGAAGTGGCTTAGAAGTGAAGACGTAGGAGAAGTGGAAGAGGAGGAGTATATTTACAGATAGATAAATGAAGCAAATGTGCCAAATAGGAACAATCGCTGAATTCAGATCTAGATGCTCATTGTATTACTTTTTCAACTTTCTTGAATTTGGGGGACTTTTCATACAATGTATTTGAAAAAACTTTCCTGGTAGCCTTTTCCTTTGTGAATGGCAATGCTGCACAAAATCCAAGGGGGGCTTTTATCTTGGAAATGCAAGTATAGGATAAGTGATCTGCTCAGACTGTTGTATTTGCGCTGAGGCACTGCGTAAGAAAGAATGTGGTCCACTCTGCTACCTGAAGCCAGTTAAACTGGGCTGTGTCTGCTGATTGTGAGATAGATACAAAAAACAAAACAAAACAAGCAAAAAAGTCAGAGTGACCAACTGGAGATGTCGTAGAGGCTCACTCTGGCTTCATTTTAGAGGATTTAGAGTTTAGAAGATGTGGAACCAATCCAAAGACAGCCAGTAATTCCTTCTGAAATAAAGGTCAAATGCTCATAAAAATGTGGAGCAGCAAAAATCCTCATTCATTGCTGCTGAGAATGCAAAATCGTACAGCCACTCTGGAAAACAGTTGATCAGTTTCTTACAAGTTAGACGCATACATACCGTGCAATCCAGCAGGCACACTCCCAGGTGTTTGTCAAGATCAATGAAAATACATCCACACAAACATCTATACTGTAACGTTTATAGCCACTTTACTCATGATCACCAAAAACTGGAAATAGTAACAGGCAAATGGTAAGAGAATTGTATGTCCATAAACAAAATACTAATCAATAAGAAAGAATGAACAACTGGTACTTCAACATGGCTGAATCTCAAAAGCCTTCGCCAAGTGGAAGAAACCCGACCACATGTGTGATGGCATTAGCAGGACATTCTGAAGAAAAATAAAGCTATGTGGGTGAAAATCAGATCAGCAGTTACCAGGGGTTGGGGTGGGGGGTTGGACTGCAAGAGGGCACATGAACTTTCTGGAGGGATAGAAATACTTTTCACAGTTTTGAAAGCTGTATACTTACAACATTTGCATTTTACTGTACTGAAATATCTCTCAATATACCTCACTTCAAAAACAAAAGGGCTTTGAGACCAATTGGATAAAGAATCAGGAAGAAGAGCGAAAGGTATTTTACTGAGTAAGAAAACAGAGATACTAATTTAAAAACAGTGGAGATGTCAGAGAATAGCACCTCTACTGCAGCTAGTTGACCGCTGCAAGAACGAAATGCTGGAACAAGTTGTATCAAGGAGTAACTCCAGAGATACCATTATCCATCCATTTTAATGTTACTGGTTTAGAGGCTGCTATGGTCTGGATGCTGGTGTCACCTCAGAGTTTGTAAGTTAAAACCTAACCCCCCCCAGTGCAACAGTATTAGGAGGCAGGGGCTTTAGTAGTGATTAAACTGGAGGGCAGAGCCCACATGAGTGGACTTCATGTCCTACTAAAAGAGGTGACGGGAGGTGCCTCGCCCTCTGCCATGGGAGGACACAGAGGAGGGGCATCCAGGAAGCAGAGAATAAGCCTTTTCCAGATCCCAAGTGTGCTGCCATCTTGATGTCGGATTCCCTAACTTCCAGCACTGAGCAATAAATTTCTATTGGCTATAAATTACCCAGTCTGTGGTATTTTACTATAGCAGCCCGAATGGACAAAGACTGAGGCCAATTTGGTACAAGCATGAGAAAAATACTATTATCTTTTAAAAGTATATAAGGATGCTGAAAAAGAAATTGTTATTGTAGGGAACAGGGAAAGGAGACGTTGCTAGAACCGCTGTGTCAGGTCCTAGTCTCCTGTGAGCCACGACAGCACAAGGCGAGTTAATTAATATATAGACAGAAATAAGACTTAGAGAAGAAGCTGAGCTTCAGCCTGATCAGTGCCGCTCTGGGCAGCAAACATCCCGACCCTGAACTTGCCACACCTTTATTCAGAACATCAGCAGAAACAAAAGTAGTGAAAGACTCAGACTGGGGACCATGATCTTGGAACAATGAGGTACTGCGCAGATGAAGATTTGGTTCCGCCCAGGATGTCTCCAGCTGGTGTAGTCCTGCCCTGGAGCCTCACAGTATCCTGGGACCATTGCGGTCTTAGCTGTTACCAGAGGTGAAAACGAAGTTCTGTCTGTGTGCCATAGGCTGGCCTGTAGACATGAAAACTAGGCCCTAATCGTGATTTAATTATGAAATGATTTTTCCCAAAATCATGTAGAATTGCTCCTGACATGTTATTCTGGAAATACTCTCAAAGTTTCTGTACATGTATATGCATAAGTATGCGCTTGACTGTCTATAGGCAACTAATTATAACCTTGCTTAAGTATTTTTTGTTTTTATATGTTTTATATGCAGTTAAAATATGTGCAAAATGATTCAGTTCTAATTTAGAAAATATTAGATTTTTTTTTAAATAAAGGATGCCAGAACTGGTGTTGGTTGCACTTGCCTGTAATCCCAGCACTTGGGAGGCTGAGGCGGGAGGATCACAGAGAATTTGAGGCCAGCCTGAGCTATACAGTGAGTTCCACACCAGCATGAACTGCATAGCAAGACCCTATCTCGAAAGAAAGAAAGAAAGAAAGAAAGAAAGAAAGAAAGAAAGAAAGAAAGAAAGAAAGAAAGAAAGAAAGGAAGAAAGCCTAATATGGTGGTAGCAGTGAACATGGAGAGAGGTTAAGAGAATATAATTTTTTTCTAGGAAGTGATTTTTCAGATAAGATGTGCTTGCACGTGGGCGCATAGACTTATCAAAATCAACTGTAGTATTTATAGAAAGAAAAGACTAAAAACCTACCTTCCATTAATAGAAAATTGGTTAAATAGATTTTGGTATAATCTATGAGGTGGAATACTGGGCAACCGTTTAAAATGAGATAAGCCTATATTAAGTGCTGATAGGCAATGACAGTTGAGTTTTAATAATACTGTATATAGAATGTTACCATTTATATAACAAAAGAAATGTCACATTGTGTACACACGCTTATACTCCCTGGCGTAGACTAGGCACAGCGTTTCTGGACAAGAAGCTATTGTATCATGCCCACGGAAGGAGCAAACTGAAGGGGGCGCTCCAGAGGGCTGGATTCAGAACTCTGGAGACAGCTCAGCCCTGGCTGGTGAAGACCTTGCTGGGCTGCCTGAGGTCAGTGCTGGTCCCAGCGCGAGAAGCTGGAAGCCACAGGCCGGGGCTGGCAGCCCAGAAATTCCCTCACCTGGGAGCGGGTAGGTTGAGGCTGGCAGGCAAGAACACCGTTTTCTGGGGGTGCTGACAGAATTCATGGGGAACCGCTGAACTGGATGAGGAGCTGGCCGGCTCCTCAGCTGGATCCTGTCACTGACCCTGGGCAGAGAAACCAGCGAGACACCAGAGAA